CTGTCATAGGGATCAACCTACACCTGAAATCCACCATCTCCTATTACCTTCTTTATGAAAAACAAAAGTATTGATTTACTCATTTTGTATATGAGGGTTTTGCCTGCATGTATTTCGGTGTGCCACATGTGATTGGTGTCCAAGGAGGTCAGAACAGGCTATCAGGTGGCCTGAAACTGGAGTTGTGATGGTTGTGAACCACCACGGGGGTCCTCTGGAGGAACAAGTGCTCTTAACCGCTGAGCCACCTCTCCAGCCCGTCTGTAGATCTCTTAACACCTGCTGTAGTCCTTTTAAACTGAGTCAATGACTCTGAATCACTGAAATGTCCTGATAACACAAGCCATACCCCAGTGTGATTTGTTGTGCCCTCTGATGGTAAGAGACTGGGGCCAGGATCCAAGATAGTTAGACCACCACCTCCCGTGATTGCCGAGTGCAGTCGAGAAGAACCGTACTCAGGGGATGTGGTGGTTTGAATGTAACTGGCCCCCATAAGCACATAGGAAGTGGCACTATTAGGAGGTGTGGCTTTGTTGGGGTAGGTATGGCCTTGTTGGAGAAAGTGTGTCACTGTGGGGGCAAGCTTTGAAGTTTCCTATGCTCAAGATATGGCCCAGTGTCTGAGGCCACTTCCTGTTGCCTCCTGATCAAGATGTAGCCAGCACCGTGTCTGCCAGCACACCACTGGCATGCTCTCTGCCATGATGATAATGGACTGAACCTCTGAAACTGTAAGCGAACCGCCCCAAAGAAATGTTTTCCTTTATAAGAGTTGCTGTGGTCAGGGCGTCTCTTCTAAGCAACAAAAATCCTACCTTAGAGAGTGGCCTACTTTTACTCATGGATATCACTCTTCCTAGAAGATTCTAGAGCCACGGCAAGGGCACACCTCTGAATAGGAGCAGTGTGATGGCTATTCTTGCTTGTCAATGTGGAATTAGCTAAAGCCCAAAAGCAGAGGGCACACCTGTGAGGGATTTTTTTTTTCACTTAGTTTGAAGTAGGTAGATTTACTTCTATTCCAGACTTTTGCAGAAAGAAGACAGACAGATGTCTTTCATCTGGATCTTGAAGCAGGAAGACATGCCTTTAATTTTGGCTACATCTTTTGCCTAATCTCTATTGCTTGTTCCCATAGTCAAAACCAACTGTAGACCCCACAGTCAGTGTGATGGAGACATCAGCTCCACTAACTGGACAAATGTCAGCTGTCCTGTAAAAGGTTGTTTTGTATCCGTCTACACTCTGGCATTCCTCGCCACCCTCATGTTCCATAGTCCAGTCCATCTCAGAAATGTTTCCTTTCAGGGGCCATGAGCGTCCTATGTAAAAACAGCTCACTCTGAGTGACCCCATCAGTTGTCTCCCATCTAGAACGACAGCCATCGTTACTAGAAAAGGAAGAACACTTTCACCAAAGACCTTATATTTCAATGTATTCCAGGAGGGCCTTGATTTCCTACTATCTCCACAATGTGCCCTTTAACGCTGAATTCTAGGTTGATTCTTGCTATCGACTGATGTTTTCTGAGTCTCATAGGTGCTGAGCGTGCTGACATAGGCAGGAATTCCCCGTTCCTACACCTCCTTCCCATGAAAATGTCTCCTTTATTAGTTTTGTTCCTGTGAGTCTCCATGATAAGCAAGGACCAGGCAGGCAGAGCACAGGTAGCATGAACATAAAATGCAAGGAGTAATTGATATAAAACTAAAAATGCCAGGCATTTCATGGTTCTCATGCTTATCAACTCTTCTGAACTAATTTAATTTCACCAGCTTGGTCAAAAACACAGGGAGGGATTGTTTTCCGTGACAATAAATCCAGGAGGAGTGAAGCAGGTCCCCAGGTGTGGTCCAAGAGCATCCGTGGTGGTAGCAGTGAACTTTACTGCAAGCTAGCCACGATCCCTCACCGTGACCTCCAGCCATGGCTCTACTGCTTCATGACACAACTCCATGACAGAGTGCTGTCATTAGTCCCCTATAAACAAAGCACAGACTGGACTGAAGTGTAAACTTAGAGCTATGCAAACAAGAAGAAAGCGAACAGTCGAGTGTCAAGTATGATGACCACTTCCTGCTGCTGCCATGGTAACCCGATGCCACCGATAGTGTGGATGGCCTTAACAACAGGGGACTAACATTTGCACTAAGAATTTACCTGGGCACTGTGAGGGTCAACCCTCAACAACTGCCCTGCTTTCCTTGTCTCCGTTTCAGAAAGCAAGAGGGTGAGTCTTGAAACAGTGGAGAGATGAGTCAGTAGTTTCGAGCTCTTATTCCTCTTCCAGGGGGACCAGAGTTTGGTTTCCAGCACCCATGTCAGGTGGCTCACAATGGCCTGTAACTCCAGCTCCAGGGGAATCCAATGCCTCTGCCTTCCAAATGTCAGGTGCACTCATTCGAATGCAACCATGTGTTCCAGCACACCCACACTTAAAATAAAATAAATCATTAAAAAAAAAAAAAAAACGAGACTTGGAAAAGTTAAGTTATCCAGTATTTGAACCAGATATGCCTGACTCTAGAGTAGGTTTATTCTATGTCAACTCTTCCACCACACCTGCTAATGAAAATGCTATTGCAGCATCGAAAAAGGAGTGTGGGAGCTGGAGCAACAGCTCAGCTGTTAGGGGCACTTCCTGTTCTTCTTGCAGGGGACTCAGGTTTGGTCCCCAGCACCCACATGGTGGTTAACAATCATCCTGCCCTCTTCTGTTTTCCACCGGCACCAGACACACAAGTGGTGCACGTCCGTCAATGCAGGCCAAACATACGGCAGGGAAGACCTGTAGCAGAACACCTTGGGAGATGTTAAACCATTACAGCCGAGGGTGAACAGATGTTCTTTAGAAAACAGAGGTAATCACGATATCCCTTCATGTTTACTTAAGCGCCAGGTACAGGCGTTCTCTCGTCACCTTCCCATAAGTCCACGGTCCTGCCCCAATTTCAAATGTTATTCTCGTGATTTGACACGGGCTGTTAGAAGTGTGACTCTAAGGAGCAGGGTAGCTAAATCCAGCTGCCAGCGTTGTAGGTTGGACAGAAAATCTGGGAGCTAAAGGACGTCCCAGGACCTGAGCCCGAGGGCGGGTGAAGAGGCTCATGCCATGCAGCACAGGGAACACAAGGTTCCACAGCCAGGAAGCATAACGAACATGGATGTGCTGACAGCACCAAGCAATCAGACCTCCCCGTGGGAGCTGCAGACGCATGGGGGCCAGAGCGGGAAGCAGCTGGGTAAACGCAAGGGCACCGATAGAGCCTGGCAGATCCAGAGCTCCGGAGGTTGTGCAGATTGCCCTAGGCGACTGGCATTGCCCCTTACATTCCAAATCACAGACGGCTCTTCATTTGCTCTGCAAACGCCTGCACCCCCATAAACAATGCGGCAGCGACCGGAACCCAGCCGCCTGCGTCCAGGAATCGCGCCTTGGGTATCCGGGCGAGAGAGGGAGAGCAGAGCACGAGCGGTGCCCGGGACACCTGCCCAAAAGCCAGGACGAGCTCAGCGCCCGAATCGTGCGCGCCCAGGGGCAGCAGTGGCCCACGCACATGCACACGCACGGGAGCGCAGGCTCCCGCGTTCCCGAGGCAGAGCCCAGGTCGGGCGCCGGCGGGAGCCCAGGAGTCGCGAGCTGCAGGCGGGGCGGGGGGCCCAGG